TTTTTTACCCGTTTCACGCCTTTCACTCCCTGTAACATGGCTTCCAGGGCTCTTGCCGATAGTAGCCTATATTCGCGCTTGTTTTCATGGCTAAACAGTTTTTAGTTCTCAACTTTGGACGGAATGAACACTTTTAGTGCATCTGTGTCAGGGATTTGAATTCGCTTAGAGTTGCAAGGAAATTTGAGTGCGTGGTCCTACTTATTGTTACTGAGCAAGTATTCTTAACATAGCAAACGGTCATTATGAAACAGTCAAAGATTATAATAAAATGAAACTAATTAAATTAACTTGACATTTGTTACTAAACTAATTGTTGCCATAACTGCTCGCTAAGATTACATTTTTACAGTGCTGGACTTGAAAGCAAGCTGGAAAGGACTGCGTGATACGAAGCGGAGGTACTCTCTGCAACAACCAAATCCTTCCGGAAGACAGTGGGTGTTCGAAAAGGACTTGGAATTCTTGGATGTTGGAAGAAATGAACCGTGAGTATCATTTGTCCACCTCAGCCGTTCTTTTCATCTCTAACCACTCCTTTCAGGGTTCAATTTTCACCTCAAGTTGACAACGAATCGAAAGTTAACAGCCTAGTCGACAGTCCTCGCAGTTCTGCCACCCCGGAAGAAATGGCTGAGGAAGGCGCTGACGCTGATGATACGAATGAAACGTTTTTTGTACCAGTTTCTGAAATGGGTGGCGACAAGAGTCCAGAGAATGGTTCCGAGCCTCCACGAAAACGAAGTTACGGCGGAGGTTTCAATTCAAAAAAGAAGAAAATGGACTCTCTCCAGGAAGGTAATATCTTATCGAGTTTTTTGACCTATATTCTTGATAATTGGTGCTTTGTTTCCCGTTCTCCAAAAATTAATCGTGGTCTCGACTGGTAGTCGCAGGGTTTATACCTATTTTCGCCAAACCGCATGGCGCTTGGTTTTGCTTTCTATCAATTCTTATTTGAAAGTTAAACGGTGGTTATGCCAGTTGCCGAAGCGTAGTTTATTTTTGTGCCTTTTTTTTGTTATTGAGAGCTCATGTTCTTCTCAACAAAATGGCAAGACATAGGTTTTCTTCAGAATTTTTCCAGTAATCCAGAATCCAGAAGTAGCTTTCAAAATAATCTAATGGTTATTTTGATCAGACCTTATCAATTTGTGTAGAATACAAAATAAATTACTCCGCTCTATTTGTTCACTGAAACCACTAGGTAGCGTCTACGTTGTGGCGATTTTGCTGGGGATGTCAACGTATCGAACTAAATATTCGGCAAATTGGCTAAAGTATTAGGCTGGATTGACTTTCGCATTGACGCTTTCTGCGTTGTTTACTCGCTGTTCCTTAGTTCACTAAATCACGTGAGTCGGCGTCTAACAAAAGTTACGCTTCAAAAAGAAATAACTGAAATATCATCAATTGCATGAAATTAAACTCGAAGTTTGCATTAAAATGTACTTAGGATATTATTTCCAGGTCTGGAAATGATACGTGAAATCACAGCTTCTTTGAGACAGAGGTTATCGGCTGCATCCATGGATAAATATGACCGATACGGTAAACTTGAAAATTGTCATACTCAGTAATTGGCAGTTTCGGATGGATTTTTTTTTCATTTTTCAGGTGCCTTCATTGCTTCTTCACTCCGAGAAATGCCGGAACCTGCATCACAACGTAAAATGGCTCAACTAATGGACTGCTTGTTGAATCAAGGGAATCGTAGTGGTTCTTAATGTTTTTTTTTTTTTTGAATTGGGGAAATAATAAGTGAAGAAATGAGAGCCACATGTTGACGCGGGTTAAGCATCAAGCCGGAAAAAATGTTGCGGCACTGTTCTCAGCTTTGTTATGCTTGTGTACCACGACAGTGACCCACTCATCCAATAAATTGTGCAATAGTGAATAATGTTGTTGAGTTAGGTTATCAAAGCAGTATAGCATTGAATAACTTCTTATGTTTTATCTGCCAGAGTGTTCAATAAAAATCACTCACTCTGCCTTGCTGATGTTTCAAAACAGAGTTGTGGACGTTATCAAGCGACTTGTGATTAGAGCATACCGAAAGTCGTCTATAGTGCTTCCTAGTGAGCTTCGATAGATTTGGCTGGGAACTTGGTCCGAGGGTAATCTCACCTGGGACATTCTGCAGCTAGCCTCGAAAGTTGTCGGGGATATTCCGCTATATTGCTATATCCGAAGTCGTATGTAGCAAGCCCGAGCAGGGTGAAAATCGTGTCGAGGACGTGGTCAGATCAGTACGACCCCCTCAGATCGGGATCTTGATAGATACGACCCCTCTAACTTTGCCTTGATGTGAATAAACCATTTCCATCAATGCACAGCAAAGCGTTCGGTCGCAATCTACACTCTCGATGAAAAGGTTCCATTCCCCATTTCATAAGTTTTGGAGCAGTATGTGGTAGGGTTAGATAGAGCTGGATTTGCTACTACCGGGCAATATTGAAATTGATCTAAAACACTCGAAGAGATAGGGTCTCTCAAATTTTGTCGAGGGAGCGTCGAGGATGCGGAATTTTTCATGCGAGTTTTTGCCACTTAAAAGGCAATATCTCTCTAATTTTGCAAGAATTGAAAAGCGAAGACAGTTTTGGAAAGCGGAAGGTTTGCGCTTCAGTATGTTTAGCTTCCTTCTACATTCCCTAGTTGAGGAGATTTTGCGTCGAGGATCTATCAAGGATGATTCTCGGCCGCTCAAAAAGCCGCTCCCTTCTTCACCATTGCAAGTGTAATTCGTTGGCAACGCTCGAAATGTGTCTAGAATACATTCTTCCAACATAAGCAATAAGAAAAGGGGCAATCGTCATCATCCGATTTTCGTCTCAGTATAGGCCATGCATCCGACCTCCACTCAAGTTGTAGAATCTATTGAAAGGTGTTCATATGATGATGACCTGTTGACAGAAACTGTATTGTAGTAAACACATTTCGTAACTCCTGTAACCTAAGGAACAGCTTCATTCGCCCATGGTCTTTCCAGAACTCTTGCCGGTTTGCGACAGCTCCCTAACAACTGCCTCATTCTCAACGAGGTATTGAGGGCCTAGATAAAGGAGGTGCCTCTACAGCACGTGTACACATTGCGGAGATGCACTTTCATTCCTTGTACTGCTTTCAAATACGTCCTTCTCATAAAGGTAAAGGAATGGAGCGACTGGACCTGCAAAGAATATTTTATCTCATGTTTTCTCACATATCCTTATTTTCTGCTGCGCTACACCCTCTCTCTCCTATCTGACGTTACTGACCCCAATGAGTACGACCCCCATGACCCACCCTGACAAATACGACCCCTCCTGTCGAGGATTTCCTCGACCGATATTCACCCTGAGCCCGAGGGTCGTGGAGAACGT